ACTGTAGGTCCTTTTTCTCTGGAGATTGTGGGGGGCGGGGCGTTGGCAGCCACGTCTCCCCTCTGCTGTTATGGGCTTTAATCCCAAAATGCCTCCTCTTCCCCGGGACCAGTTTCAGCACGTCTGTCATGGCAGCAGTGTAAATGTTTCATACGTGGGCTCAGTGCAAATACTGCATAGGATGGTGTTTGAACTTGTTTGTCACCTCAGGAGAAGAATTGAATGGGCTCGTTTAAGAGCTCCCAGGATCTTCTGTGGCACGTAGCAGGCTGCATGCATGGTGAAAACACTGTGTCAACATAGGATTCACAAGTGGTCAGAAAGTCGGTTTATGTGGCCCAAAATGCAAAACTCTGTTTATATTCTTTAAAACACTTAATGTGGTAGTTTGCTCTATGCATGAAACAGAAGTGAAGGCAGTACCACACAACCGTGTGACAGTTTCACAACAACGTGCAACATTTTGCTGGCGACATTACCGGTGTTTACAGTGCTACAGTATCGCTCTGAGCTGGATCCTGAGCTGATTCAGAACTTCTCACTTATCTGCTTTCATAGACTGGGCAACAAAGCGTCTTGGGAAAGTAGAGGACTGCCAGCTTGTTGTTCCACGTCCATCAGTCTGACAGCAGGGCTCCAGTAGCAGCTCATGAGCATTTGTTAATGGGACTTCTAGTGTGTCGCGCTGGTCACCTGCTCACTTTCAAGATTAAGAGAAAAAAGATTCAAGCAAAATAAATCTTTCTTTTCTTTCACAGCCCAAAGTTGTTGTTTATGTATCTGATTCAAGAGCCTTAAATTACTTTGTGAGTGGAGCTGAAGTACGACTGATGTACCAGCACTAACCCTTCTGATGCTGTTGTGTGTTCAGACTACCAACGAGGCCGTGTTTGCTGTAGAGTTTAACCCTCGGGACAGCACCAACATCATCACCTGTGGCAAATCCCACGTCTACTTTTGGACGCTGAGTGGAGGACAGCTCACGAAAAAGCAAGGCATCTTTGGAGTAAGATTAACTTCAGTCGTGTTCGTCCTGACTGACATTTCTGTCTTTTTAAACTCAGTTAACGTGCGCTAGTGCAAGGAAGCAGTGGAAAATGGAGTTAGCAGCATCTTTCTGTAGAGGCCAAAAGAGGAAGAAGCTCAGCAAAAAGAACTGAAAATTCAACATGTCCAAAAAAATGGGTGGAAACATGTAAACGATCAGTTATTAGCACAGTTAATATAAAAGATCAAATAATTGTTTATTATTTTCAGAAATACAAGAAGCCCAAGTTCATCCAGTGCTTTGTGTTCAGCCTGACTGGAGATGTTCTCACCGGAGACTCTGAGGGGAACATCATGACTTGGGGAAAATCTGCTGCAGATATCAAAACTCTCGGGAAAGGAGCCAAAGGTTGGTGCTGTGTGTCAGTTCAAAGCCTAGAGAATAAAATGTCAGTATAAATATCATCTCTGTGGAGACACGTCGCTCTCACATGTGCTGGCAACAAACGAGATTTCAAATAAAATAAATAGAAACTTGGCAGAAAGATGAAGAAGTGATGATCCAGTGGGCGGTTTTACACACCTGAGTGACTCCAGGAGCTGTATTGTCAGGGATAATTGGTTTGGTCTCCCAAGCCAAATCAGTCACAGGTGAAGCTTTTATTTATACTGCACATTTAAAACTACAAAGTTCACCAAAGTGCTGCACATCAAACGTAGGGTCTATATGCTTCAGCGAAAAGGAAAGTTTGAAGCCTAATCTTGAAAGTAGAGATAGTGTCTGTCTGCTGAATCCAAACTGGAAGCTGGTTCCACAGAAGAGGGAAATATCCTCGGACACGTGTGATCTGAAGCGCCGCGCCTCTCATCCCCACACAGTGCTCGGGGTGACAAATAAGAATACTGTGATCGACTGTGTCAGAGGCTGCTGTAAGATCAAAAAGCATTAAAATAATAGAATCCCCAGAGTCAGTAGATATTAAAATATTATTTAAAACTCCCTAAAGATTCTGTTCTGTGAAATGCTTTGAAACCAGACTGGAGCACTTGGTGCTGAAGAAAAACCCCTTATACTGAATCTCTGAAATAAAAAGGGTTTAAAGATAGTTGGAGTTTTGTTTGAACATGTAAATGTGGTGTTTGGAAATTGTTCCTAGTTTTGGCGAGTAAGGGGTGACAAGTTGAGATGTTGGCTTACATCTGGAATCGTGTGACTGAAATGATGTGCTAGCTGATCAGAAGCTTTAAGAACTCAGAGATTTAAATAAAGTATAGCGGTGTGAAAAGTGCCTCTTTCCTGATTTCCTATATTTTTGTATGATTGTGTCACTTAAATGTTTCAGATAATCAAACGAATGTAAATATTAGTCAAAGATAACACAAGTCAACACAAAGTGCAGTTTATAAATGAAGCTGTTTTTATCAGGTAGAAAAAACCTAACTGACCCTGTGTGAACAGAGATTGCACCCCTCCTTTTATAACTTAAGAGTATAATGTTCGGAAAGCAAAGTTCAGTCTCTCTAGCCACACATCAGCCTGATTCCAGCTGTTCACAACCAAGAAATCAGTTAAATAGGACCTGCCAAACAAAATCCAGACATCACGCTGCGATCCACATTCAGGAACAAATGAAAAACAAAGGAATTGAGATCTCTGTCTGGAAAAGTTATAAATACTGTCGACCATAATATCCTATTAGAGCGATTAGAACATGCTGTAGGTATTACAGGTACTGCGCTGCAGTGGTTTGTATCATATCTATCTGATAGACTCCAATATGTGCATGTAAATGGAGAGTCCTCTTCACACACTGAGGTTAATTATGGAGTTCCACAGGGTTCAGTGCTAGGACCAATTCTGTTTACATTATACATGCTTCCCTTAGGCAGTCATCATTAGAAGACATAGCATACATTTTCACTGCTATGCTGATGACACCCAGCTCTATCTGTCCATGAAGCCAGATAACACACACCAATTAGTTAAACTGCAGGAATGTCTTAAAGACATAAAGACCTGGATGGCCGCTAACTTTCTGCTTCTTAATTCAGATCAAACTGAGGTTATTGTACTCGGCCCTGAAAATCTTAGAAATATGGTATCTAAGCAGATTCTTACTCTGGATGGCATTACCTTGGCCTCCAGTAACACTGTGAGGAACCTTGGAGTCATTTTTGACCAGGACATGTCCTTCAACTGCACATATTAAACAAATATGTAAGACTGCTTTCTTCCATTTGTGCAACATCTCTAAAATTAGAAATATCCTGTCTCAGAGTGACGCTGAAAAACTAGTTCATGCATTTATTACTTCCAGGCTGGACGACTGTAATTCATTATTATCAGGATGTCCAAAAAACTCCTGAAAAGCCTTCAGCTGATCAATAATGCTTGAGGAGTCTGACAGTTTTTTACAAAACTTCTGGAATGATTTTTGTAATTCCTTCTTTATACACAACAGTTCCACATCTGGGTCCTTCTTAATTTTGTCTACTCTGCTCCTCTGATTTTTCTGCTTTGGGCTAGCTTCATAATGTTTTTGTTTTGCAAAGACAAAGGTCTTCTCGATTTCCTGTGTATGCAACAAATTTATCATCCCTATCGTCCCTCATCAGAACCATAAACTGAGGGTTGTTTAAGGCGCCGTATTAAGTCTCCAGAGTGGAGACGGTTTCGTGGATCGTCTCTTATATGTATTGTACAAAAACAGGAGTGTGATCGGACAGGTCACAGGTTAATCTGTGGCGATCCCTCTGAAGCATGACCTTGTGTTGACCAGGTCCCAACAGGGGCACATCCCCCCTCCTTGCTGAGGGAGCGCCTCAATAAATGTCCCCACACTAACATGTTTCTGTCTGACGTCTCAACTCAGAGTTATAAAAAATGATTATTATGAAGAGAAAAGGAAGAAACCACGTTAATTACTCTCCATAACCATGAGAAGAATATAGCCACTCTTACCCAAATATCAGATTTGTAAAACAATCCCAGATCTTCAGGCGTCACTGTCTCTCCTGAACACCTGAAGCGGATGCCGCTCCGGCGTGACGAGGCCCTCTCTCGGTGTCTGCGTGCCGTGGGCCAAGCGGACAGCAACTGGATCACTTCATGTTCTGGGCTGCTGTAGGTTTGAGCACAGTGACAGGCAGTCACCACATCTCTTGTTGCTTCGCCTTGTATAGGCGAGTGCTGTTGTCAGAAAAAACCCGCAGGATCGGGGGTTTGAAACTTGATGCGTTCTCTCAAAGTATCTTTGCCTCCCTGTATTCGTTGCGTCTTCTGAGGACCACAGTAGGACAGTCGTGGTCCACGAAACTCTTCATAAAACACCTCCTCCCTCTGCCATGCTCTATGAAGAGCCTCATTTTTTTCTTACGATGGCTCCCAAACATCACGACAATGAAACTTCTGTTACGTTTGTCTAATATTTAAGTGTGTTTGATGATCTGAAACTTTCAAGTGTGACAAACATACAAAAAATGGGAGATCAGGAAGGGGGCAAACACTTTTCACACCAGATTTTACAGGTTAAATGAATTTTTGGTGTCGTGACTTCCCACAGAAACCTACCAGATCATGCGACAGACCAAAGCACACGAAGGCAGCGTGTTCACCCTGTGCACTCTACAGGGCGGAGGCCTGCTCAGTGGAGGAGGGAAGGACCGTAAAATAATCCGCTGGAGCGCTGATTTGGCACCTGAAAGAGAGTGTGAGGTGAACTACAGCTGTGTGTGTGTGTGTGTGTGTGTGTGTGTGTGTCAGTCACAGCTGGTGGAGAGACTCATTAAGGCATTTGTTCAGATTCCAGAAAAGTTCGGGGCGGTCCGCACTATCGCAGCCATGGACGAAGAGGAACTGTTAGTTGGTACGACTCGAAATGCCATCCTCAGAGGAACCTTCTCAGACGGCTTTGTGGCCATAGTGCAGGTAAGCTAACGACCTCGCAGGCATCAGTGCTGTCAGGTCTGTAGATGCTTGCTGAGAATTTTAGTACCAAAAGATAAAACGTGCATTTTATACTTTTGTCTGATATATGATTTATAGACAGCTTAAACATTTAATATAAGCATCTTCCAAGTCTTTCACAGACTGGATGTATTTGCTACTATCACCTGATGCACAGTTAAGCAATCGGAATAGTTAGGAAAATGACGTCATTAGAGGTTTGTCCTGCAGAGCAGCCTGTCTGCAGCACGTGTAACACAGCAGCAGGCATACGACACATAGATTGGTCAGGTGTTGGGTCACATGTAATCTCACTTGGTGCCTTTAGTATCGTTTTATTCTGAAAAGCGACCTTGGTTAGTAGTTGGTTAGTTTTAACCAAGGAGCTGCGGTGTCTAATATCAAACTAATATTGTTTGATGTCTTTTTACTTCAGCTTTGCTTGGATGGAAGCACAGATAACTCTTCTTCTTCTTTGTTTGTATTCTCAGCAGTGCTGATGAGCATCAGTTACTGACTGCCTGGGCTGAATTGTTGTGAAAAGCTGGTTAACTGAAAACTGCTGCAGCTCTGTAATGGTGTCACAGACACCACTTCACTGCAGCAAATGCAGTTTTATGACAGTCCCTGAGCTGAAGTGGCTGTTGGCCCAGGCCTTTGCTGCTGCTTTCCATGTGAAGGGTGAAGTGGAGAGACGAGCGCCTTCTGGGTTATTGAATTGGCTTATTTTGGGGCATTGGCCACAATTGCCCATAACGCTAGCAGCTGGTGCTCTTCTACCTCTCTGGCTCTTGATGTCAGGCTCCTGGGACATCGTGGTTCATCTACTTCTCCCTGCATTTAACCAGCCCTCACCTCT